CATATGGATCAATGGAAATTTAATAAAGTTTATTAAAACCGTATATTGGACTGAGGAGTGCTGTTTTCTCTCATGGATATAAACCAACCTCATTAGGCTGACCTATATTAACTGAATCACAGGGAAGAAAGCATTTCTGGCCATTTAAAGATTATTTTGGTTCAACAGATGGCGGCTGGCACCAGAGTGCAGCTTTTCTTGTTTATTAATTCATTTGCGTGTATGTACATGAATGATGCCTACTGGTCATCCAGCCCACTGTGCTTATTTTCAGCATCCAGAGTAGTTCCTGACACATAGTAGGAACTCAGTGGTCGTAGGAGGGATTGTGATCTCAGGTGTGTGACATGCTGAGAGTCAAGCAGCTCATGAGGACCACAGGGTGGAAGAGTCTAGAACACCCAGCTCTTAGTCCATGGCTCTCTTCACCCCACCCAACCATCCTCTATTGATTCATGGCCTGTGAAATGCCTTAAATGTTCCATAGACATCTTCTGTCTGTTCTCATGGCAATCTCAGTTTATGTTGCAATAAAAGTTATCTTAATCTCTACTGATTGACGAGTTCTTAAAATAACAGCATTACCAAAGTTCCTGCTCACATTGTAAATCACAAATATTCCACTCTTTGGAAAGAATTTGGGATGCTGAGCCACTATTTCAGAGATGGCTCAGGTGATCCTGCTGCAGGGGGAGGTATCCAAAGAGGCCTTCACTTGGAATGAAAACCCTCCCCCCGGGCAGCTGGCAGGGAACCTGTGTTTGGAGGCCTTGACTGCCTGAATACATCCCTGCTGATGTAAGGTTAAAGCAGAGGAGAACAGAGATTGGCCTGCTCTTGCCCCTGAGTGACAGCAGTTGGGAGAGCAACCCTTTTGGGTAGTCGAACAAGCATGGAGATGTTCATTCCTTATGTTGGATTGCACTGACAAATGGCGGCAGTTCTGTGAGACTCTGCCTACAACCATTCCCTGTGTCTGAAGGCCCTGGGTTTCTGTCATTCTTCTTGGAAAGTAGAATCCTAAATATGGGCAGCTGGTTAGGACTGGAACCTTGGTGACTTCTGAAAGTTATAACAAATGGAAGTCATTATCACCATTGCCCCCCTTTACCTTTCTGCTACTTGAGGCAGAAAATGATTTTTTACCCCCTGGTTTGTTTTGAAGTCTTTCATCCAGAGAGAAAGGGATTAGCCTCTGGCTACAATAGTGCTTTCGGGGGCCTTTTGGCATGCTGCAAATGTTTACTTATCCAGGTACAAATAGGTAAAAGCACATAGTTAAAGCTCCCGGCTGCAAGGTCATTTACCTCTTTAAAATTCAGCCGCATGTGCCGACTGAAGTCGAGGGCTTGCTGGTATGAGCCATTAACTGCCTGTTGTACGTAACCTCTCCTTGTCTTACACACAGCTGCGTGTGAGCCGCTGGTGCCGCGCAGCCAGCCCCCCATGCATGCCTTGCGAGCAACAAAAGCAGTTTAACTTGTGATCGCTGATCATATGATCCACTTACAGGGTGCAGGCTCAGTCAAGTAGAACTGGTAAATCATTAAAAATGCGCCTCGGTGCTGTGCCTGCTGAGTAAAACATCCTGCTAACATCCCTGTCCCCCACCCCCAGCCAGTTATAGGTGTGGGGAAGGAGCTGATACCAGCTGCGTGTTGGAGAATCCCATGTCACTTCAGCCTAATGTGGTGAGAGATTGTCAACTGCTCCCAAGCAGCATGGGAGGGGAAGGCAGGAAGACAGAAACGATCTGAAATGGCTGCTACCATCGTCCACAGGCCCCCCTTGTCCTTTACTTACTCATTAACCGAACATGTGCTAAGGGCCTGAAGTGTGTCGCCTGTACTGGTGCCTAACTTACAAAGGTTGGAGAAAAAGTGGCCTCTGACTTACAGACTCTCGCAGTCTGCCAAGAACTCAGCTCACTGCCAATTACATTAACATAAGCACCCACTGAGGGCCAGGCAACCCCAAGAGGCCCAGGGTAGCCAGAGGAGATGATATTTCAGTTGAACCTTGAAGGAATACCAGAATTTCATTAAGGAGACAAGTGGTTCAGAGAATAACTTCAGCTGTGTCTAAAAGCCTTACTTTCTAGAATTCCATCTTCCACAAGGCATGCCTTCCTAATCAATATTTTAAGATTTTTTTTAATTGTTCTGTTACTCCATGATGAAGAGTCTAATGCATCCTCTTTACTTTATCTCCAAGTCTTATTGGTCTTGTTATGTTTATGCCATAAACCTATCTGAGAAGGGACTATTTGTCCAGTATTCTTGCTTTTCTTTGTAGATCCAAAAGAATGGGTGATATACTGTGGTTGGCAACCCTTCTTTAATTTTCTAACCAATCAGGTAAAATCTGGAGTCAAATTGCCCTAGACTAGGCAATGGGGCTTAGAATGGTGCCAGATGTTCTTCCTGTCATACACTGGGAACGTCTGCTGGTAGAGATCGAGAACGGTCACTTGTGTGTGTCTCTTCACACTCATGTGCATGCAGTATGTGTTACATATGTCGTGCATGTCCATGTGTTCTGGGGATACCTCAGTGTCTCAGGAGTTCTACAGTTTTCATATTTGATACAATCCATGGTATCTGCTTGTACTCAAGAAGCCCTGAGGAGTAGATTTATTAATGTATTCATTTATTTAGAAATGAAGCTAAGCAATTTCAGTTTATCCACATATTCTATTGTCTTCTAGGGGACCGTAACCTCAGAACACCTTCAGTTTGTATCTCACAGCATTTTACCACTGAGAAGAGGATGTACGTGGGATCTTTGTCCCCTTTCTTTTTCTTGGTCTGAATGGACATTACAATTCTTCCTTTAGTGGGAACCAACCCTGCAAAGACTGTTGGTCATTTCAGAACAACTTCCTGATCCCTCTCCAAACCAACACCTAGGGCTAGAGCTTGACATTTAGAGGGCTGGGGGCACTCCTCTAATCTCTCTGCAATCTGGTGTCTTCACTGTGGAACCCCAGTAAGGGCTACTCTTTGACTGGTTGTGGGATGGACATGTTTGTCCAAAAGGAAGATGTCCACCTCCACAATACAAAGAAATGGAAGCCTGGGACCTGAGCTTTGAAGTCTTAGTACTCAGATAAAATAGGTTGCTTATACTCAGCTTCCTGCTCTACATCTGTAAAAAGGAAATAATATTCCTCTTCATGCTCCCCGTACCACCTCAGCCCAATCTCCAAAGAAATGAGAGAACCTCTTATTCTATTCAAAACCTAGAAATAGCCATAGCTTCCATTACAACCCATTCCTTGCACAGAGGCAGGCATGGAACGGTAGAATTGAGAATGAATAAATGAGTGTTTTCATTAGAAGCTAATATATGGCTAACTGTATGCCTGTGGACATATTTGATTGGTGATATTTGAAGAATTATATATATTTATAATTTAAAATAAATCGATGTCTTTGATCATCACATGGGGTTGCCACCTATAGAGGCAGAGAACCTTGAAATATATCTATGTGGCTACTTTGGAGGCTCTCAGGATTTGATGGCATAAAACTGAAACTTAGGCTATCATTACAGAAGGCTAGGGAGGGAGTTCTTTGATGAAAAAGCATTTTACAAAGTCAAAATAAAATATTATTATTCATTAATTATGACAGCAAAACTGTTGTAACCTGGCCCAGTCATCTCTTCTTGGGAAAAGCATTTTGCTTTAGTCTCTGCTTGCTCATATAATGGGGTGTTAACACCTTCCCAACATACTTCACGGGAAAACCAAACGAGGTTTCTGGTTCTCTGTCTTTCTCTTCTGGAGCAGGCAAAAATCTCTTCCATCATTTGGTCCCTGTGGTATTTTGATCAACCTTCCTCTGGAGCCTGGGTTTCCATTTCTCCCTGGGCTGCTGATGTTGGCTGGCCTTGTTCCCTCGTTACTAGAGTGTAAGTTACCTTTATTTACAGGACAGGCTCCTTCCTCTCACTTAGGGAGCAAAGAGCAGAGCTGGAGTCAGCATACTTGGGAATACAGAATCAGAATGGAATTCTGCTCTATAATCCAGGCAGGCTGTTTCCTCGAGGATACCACTGTGGGATGCCTTATCTGCTGTGTGAAGTGGGGGAATTAAACAAGATGGCCTATGGGGTGTGTCAAGCCCTCAGGGAGCTCGGTGAGCCTTAGGCTTCTTTCCTTCAGTTCTGTGCTGGGACTTCAGTGAATTGTGAAGATGAGGAGGAAACCCAATCTTTCCCTCACCTCCTCTTCTAGTTAAGAAAGATGGCCCTGCCCTCAGAATTATAATGAAATCTTAAAAACTGCAATTTTATGTGTGGATATGAAGTTATTTTGAAGATTACAGGCGACATAATGCAGATTTTATGAAGTTGCCATTATCCTTGTCAGTGAAATTAGTGCATTTTTCTAATCGGGATCTCCTGCCATTATAAACAACGTGGAAATAACTCATGCTGTTATATGAAACATCTTATAAATTTTTACATACATGTGAGAGGAATCACTTGAAATCCAAAGCTGCCAAGAGGAATAATTAGGAGTCACAGAACAGATCTCAGTAATGTGACAGCAGCTTCTAAAACATCCCACAGGACGGAGAAGCACAAGCTGGCTTGACCTATATGTTTAATAATACAGATCATTGCCCTTGGATTGAAGCTAAAGGGTAGCACCAAGTGCTTGCTTCATCATGTTTTAGGAAAAAAATTGCCCAAGTTTATTTATGAATTCACCACACAATGGCCTCTTGCTTTGATTAGGAACCGGCAGAGCTCTCTAAGTAGCAACTCAGCATGCAAAATTAAAAACAAAAAAACAAAACCACCACAGAGCATCATTTCTTATATTCTGTCATGCTTGGCAAAAGTATTATGTAAGGCCCAACTTAGACAAATGGCTATGTTAACAGTAGAAATAACCTTTTGTTTAATTAGAAAATAGGAGCTATATGGGACAATAAAAATGGTTACTGCTGCCCTCCGTCACTGTTTAATAAATACGATCGTGCTAGAGATAATGGTAAGTGTTATTTATTTGTGCAATATCACAGACTTGGTAATTGTTCACGTTGTTCAGAGTTATCCTGTGTGGAGATCACAGGAGTTTCAGAATTCGTTTCCTTTGATCCTAGAAAAGAAAATAGCAAGTTGTTTACTTACAATGTGCCGGCCTCCCTAGGCCACAGTACGGTATCTGTGTATTTTTAGCCTCTCTATTGCAAGGGCAAAAATCTCCCTGGCATTGTCTGGAGTGTATTGAGAACTGGTGGGCTATTTTGAACTGGCTCTTTTTCATCCAGAGTGCCCTCAGGTCCTTGTGGAACATCCTTCTCAGAGATACCGCTCCTGTTCAGTTCAGATTTCCCAGCACAACTAAATTTAGTAGCTTTGCCGGAGGGAAGAAATGGGGCAAAGTCTCCCACCTGAGGATGTGCACGTGGAGGAGGAACATCTCCCTGATGGTCCCTCTTGGGAGCCAGCACGTGGGATCAGGACCAGACTGAAGTTCACAGCATCTGTTTCAGTGTCTTCCCCGGGTGCAGGGGGTTGGGTGGGGAATAAAGGCTGGAGGTATTGGCTGGATCTCAGGGTCAGTTCCATTTTGTGTCTCACTGTGAACACTCCAGCTGTGTGTCTGGATGTGGACTTTGGGTCAGCTGGCTAGATTTATGTCACTGAATTGTCCTCCCCGTGGCAGTTCATTCTGGTTTCTTTTGGGGGTGGGGGTGGTATTCTGTTTTCACTTGTGCGTGTTTGCTACGGTAGATGCTCCATTTCTGCCTTTTGTGGTTTGTCATGTTGGATGATTTACTTTTTATTATGGAGACTTAGGGATTTTTTTCACTCGACTTTGGTGAATGGGGAGATAGCGCCTCAGACCCTGAGCTGGCATTAGGCTCGTCTCATCCAGAGAAATCCACAGAAAGGAGATATGGCGCAGATTTGTATCCAAGTATTTTGTGCAACCACCTATTTCTGTGTGTCCTAAATAGCCCTTTCTAGAAGGTTTCCACATGCTTCCTTTATAAAAATATAGACAGTGTGTCAAAGGGAAAACACCACACAACAAAATCCCTTTTCTTCACACAATTCATTTTAAGCTCCAAAATCCCTGAAAATCCCCAATCTCCTTTTGCAGTCTGGTTCCCACTCTCTAACTTTCCTCATCTCCCCCTGAAAGAAAGAAGAAAGCGTTTCTTCCAAGGCTGATAAGTTGTGGGCCGATGCTTAGCAACAGCATTCTTGCGCTTTAAGTAGCTGAAGGCCCTTGCTGAACCCTTTGATGTGACTGTCAGGGCAGATTTATTTTGTTTTAGCACATTGTCTACTTGTCCAGATGTATCAGGAGATAAAAAGGAGTCATGTTTACACTCCTCCCTTTTTCTTTTTTTTCGGAGATGTAATTAAATCGTGTTTTTGATGAGTCTTGGGGAGCTCCAGTTGAAGAAAACAGGAATTGGCTGGAGTAAAGGGGAAAATGGAGACTGGCCGGCGGAATGAACACCTGACTCTGTTAGAAAATAAAGCCCAAGGACCAGCTGGCTTGGTTCTGGGAAGCTGGAGGTTTTGTTCCAAGCCTTTTGTCCCTCTTCTATGAAGTTCAACCAAGAAGGGGAGGTGTCCCTGGCCCTAGTTTCTTCTTGCTTACTGTAGGCAGGCTCACACAGGCCTTGGCTCCCTCCTTCCTTCCCTCGTTCCCTGCCTTCCCCTCTCTCTCCATCCCTCAATCCCATGCTCCCTCTTATTCTGTCATTTACTGCGGAGAACGTCTGTGATAGTTGTCAATCACTCCAGTGATCTTGAATCGCCCCGTCTTCCCCGAGGTGAGCTGAGTTCTCTTGCAGTGTGATTGCTACCCCTTTCCTTTTTTTTTTAATTTTTTTTTTTTTTATTTTAGTGAGCTGTATTTTTAACGTAAACTTTTGGCAACACTGTTCCGAGTTCACTTAATGACCTGTGGGTGAGCAGTGACAAGCAGAATCCAACGTTTAGTACTGCTGAGGACCTGCCAGGCAGCGGCTACCACGTTAGCTCTCATCTGCAGCAGGGGAAGCACTCTATTTGCATTCTAAATAGGTTACACTACAGCGCCCCCTTCTGCCCACTAAGGTGTGTGACAGGAGGGTCCGCTATGCTCAGTTTCTCCCCTGATGACAGACATCCCTCAAGACCCTTCATGCAACTTTCTTGAACCTGCGCAGCCCTTCCCCCTGGTCTCTGCAGAAGTAGGACAGTGACTAACAGGTGTTCCCCGTCTTCTGGGCTCTTCATTTGGATTGACATTTTTATCACTCATGCATCAAAAATCATACATGGAAGAAGAGGGAGATATGGGTATAACAAAAGGAAAGCCACTTGACCCCCAAACCCCAGACAGACGTCACTTAATGCCATTGGGAAATGCATGCTCAGGTTTTGTGTTATCGCCCGTGGTCCATGCCACTGTGCAGGAGGGACATATTCCTTTGCTTGCTCTGAACAGCCTGTGGACGTCCCCCTCTGGCAAAGTGCACCTTTGTCCTCTCACACATGTGGAGTGGTGGAGTTAGGGGCCCGTGTGTGCCATTTTTCAACATCTCCGTGCGCTGTTTGTCGGGGAGAAGGTCCCTTCAGAAGGCAGTGGGTGACTCAGAAGTCTGAAGACACAAAGACTCTTGGTTACCCTCAACCCTCCCTCACAGGCTCAGGAATGCTGCTCGTTCAGTTTCTCATTAATTTATTTTACCAACTGACAAGTATTTATTGAGAAACTACTGCGAGCCATCTTTCAGGGGGTGTGGGACACTGCCCTCAAGGTACCAACTGTCCCGAGAGGGGAACATCATTGGGCAGAAAATGACAGGGAAGGGAGTTAGGGAGGCAAACTGGAACTCCTGTGTGGATCAGGCACAGCACCTGGGGGGAGCAGAAAGGTCACTCATGTGCTGGCAGGCAGGGGAGGAGTGGGGTGGGGGACAAAGCAGGAGATGGGCATGAGAGGAATCAAGGGCCAGGGCAAAGGGCCATCTTGGCCATGTTTGGAGGTTTCTGCTCATCCCCAAAATGTACCTTATTTTTCAAGCAGAGGAGAAATGAAACTGATTTCAATTTTTTTTCTTTTCTCCCCTCTCTTTCTCATACCCAGGGACACTCTACCACTGAGCCACATCTTTTGCCTTTTTTATTTTTGTTTGATTTTTTTTTTAAATGGTCTCACTAAGTTGTCCAGTCTGGCCTTAAACTTGTAATCCTCCTGCCTCAACCTCTTAGATCATGGAGATATCAGGGCTGTGCCACCGTGTCGGCAGATTTCTGATTTTAAAAGTGCAATCTAAGGATAATCATTTCAGGTAGGATATTATGGGGCTGGGCCAGGAATTGAGCCCTCTCTAGAGCAAATTCACCACATTGACTAACATCTACAGTGATTCTCTGGTAAAGGAGGGGAGGAGAAGAAATAGGGCTGATTTTAGAAAACATAGTGGAATTTCCTTCATACCAGCCAAAGAGAAGGCTCAATTCCCCAGGGAACCTTTCTCAGGTCCTTTAGCTCTTGGTCCTTTGTGACCACCCAGATAGTGTGTCTTGATGGTCTTTCTTGCACCTGTGCCTCTTTCAGCCCCTCTGTGCCCTGGTTGTGAATGTGCCCTTGCAGGATAAACCCAGCGGCAGAAGGCAGACCTGATTTCCAGGGCCATGTTGACCTTTCAGAATCTGGGAATCCTATGGGTGGGCAAGAGGAGGCCAGGCTTGCAGTACATCCGGGGACCTTCTGTGTTATTACTGGTACAAAATACAGTTGATGGGGTCAGGGAGAATGTCGGAAAATAGTTTTGCGGATGGGAAGTCTTTTGAAAAATAACTCCAAACATCTTCCCCTCTTCTTGTCCCCTCCTGTCTTCTCTCCCCACTGCTTGTCTATCCTTCTTAATTTTTGGCCTTGAGACTGTCCTAAGCACTCCATATACCCTCCTAGGGATTCACTGCAGCAAAGTGGTCTGTGCCTTATTTGAGTCCTTCCAAACCATAATGTGTTTGAGGAGTTGAAGATTTCAGGGCCACGTGGTAGAGTTTCTTGAGGAAATAAATAGCTTCGAGTTGAGTTTGCATTTTCCTCCAGTCTCACAGACAGTAAGGTGGCTAGAATGGTTGGAAAGGTTGCTCAGGGCACAAGACTTCCTGAAGCTGATATTTGGTCACTTCTCTTATAGTGTGCATCAGTGTGGATCTGGAATCTCTCAAGGAAATGGCTTTACACAAGTATGTTGGCTATATGCAACCTGTGATGTCAGCAATTATTGATAATATAACACAAATCTAAAAAGGCCTCTTTTGAGAACTGCTTTGTGAATGATTGTTGGATAAGTTTGAAAAAAGAACAAAATAAAGGAGAAAAGGTGTTTTGGGGACTATTTCTCCACACAAGTTTTCATAAAATCACTTTCCACCATTTTTCTTGACTCCATTTGGCTTTCTCTGTGGATCTTGTACTAATAAAAGCATGAGTATTGTGAAAAATTCGTGTTTCATAATGTAGGGTCCTTACCTAGAAAAGTCAAAGATAAAAGTCTAGATAAAAGCTTATCTAGAAAATTTCACAAACTAGGGATTGACATTAACTTTACAAAAGAAGACTGAGTGTGTCTGGGACTTGGTGGCTTTATAACCTCGCCTCAAGTGCGTGCATACGCACACTGGCAGACCACAGTCCTTCCAGGATAGTAGGCCTCGGCATCCATGCTGCCTGGTTCTTCAGATTTGCCATCTTCCTGTAGATAGCCCAGGGGGCAGCTCGGGTCCAGGAGGGTTTCAGCAGCCTGACGACATTTGTTCCTCTCCCACTTGGGTTGCCGTAGCAGGTGTTGAGTTGCTAAGCAGAGACTTTTGCCTACCTCCTTTGGGCCTCTATGGAGATATAAACCTCAGGTGTCACAGCCAGCACTGAATCTGCTGGGATCCCATTTTGACATCCTCACTCACGTGACACAGATCTTCAGGGAATCCCTTAAACTGCCCAGGACACATGGTCCTCGAGTATGAAGACAGTAACGAAGGTGGGTTTTTGGTTTTGTTAAGGCAAACATTCTCAGCATCTCTTTTGGAAATAGACTTGAGAGGAAGAAGAGGGGCTGAGTGGCAGCAAAGTGCCTTTGGAAAACAAGAGACATTAGAATTCATATCCCCAGACATCTGAGGTTTACATAGATCATGATCAGAACTTCTTAGGATGTTGTTCCCAGAGGAGTGGCTCGTGCTGTTCCTTGGAACCAGTCACCTGTTCTCTTGTGGTGTTATCAGTCCCATGTGCAGTCGAAATGGCAAATGCAGTCTCCCTCAGAGACAGACGCCAGTCACCGCTCTATGCAGGCTCGTTAATAACTAAAAATACTATGTAATTCCTGACTTGTGCAAGAAACATGAAACTGGGTCTCACTTTCTCCTGTTGACACGCGTGTGGAGGTGGGTTGGGCGTCGTCATTCCAAAGGTCTATTGTGATGTCTGCTGGCTTCGTTTTTATTTTGTGGTTTCTCTTTTCCATGTTGCACTGTGACCCCAGCAGCTGTCCTTGCCTGTCACCACTCTTGTTGCTCTCTTTGGACACCTGTTACTATTTTTAATCTTCTGTGATACCTAAGCTTATT